TCTATAACGACTACTCAATGTCTGGAAAAGAGAATGATCAAACACTTTTCTCTAATCCGACTAGTAGTCATTCTCAAGGTGAGAAAAGAAAACAATCTGAAATTGTTAATGAACCAAGGAAAAGCCAAAGAGTAAGGAAAAAAAAAGACTCTAGGCTTTGATTTTATTTCATCTCAATCTATTGTATTTTTAGTTGAAGGAAATAGAACAAAGGTTCTTAAAAAAATACCCATATTGTTGAATGTTGAGGATGATCCTAAAAGTCTAAGCGAAGCAATGACTTCAAGAGATGTAACTTTTTGGAAAGAGGCAATAGATGACGAATTTGAATCATTGATATCTAATCAGACATGGGTTTTAGTAGACTTGCCTCAAGGATCAAAAGCAATAGGTTGTAAGTGGGTATTTAGAAGAAAATACAATACAGACGGGTCTATTCAGACATTTAAAGCTAGACTGGTTGTCAAAGGTTTTAAGCAGAAAAAGGGAATGGACTATTTCGATACGTATGCATCAGTAGCTAGGCTCACATCAATTAGAATATTGTTTGCATTGGCATCTTTATATAATTTGCATGTACATCAAATGGATGTGAAAACGGCTTTTTTAAATGGTGATTTAGATGAAGAAGTCTATATGGAACAACTATAAGGGTTTGTTTTCCCTGAGAATGAAAAAAAGGTTTGTAAATTAGTAAAGTCATTATATGGATTGAAGCAAGCACCAAAACAATGGCATGAAAAGTTTGATTTTGTCATTTTATCATATGGATTTAGACATAACAGTGCTAATAAATGCATATACTCTAAATTCACAAATGATTATGGTGTTGTTATATGTTTATATGTCGACGACTTGCTAATTTTTGGTACAAACATGAACGGTGTATCTAAAACTAAAGAGTATCTAAATTCAAAATTTAAGATGAAGGACTTGAATGAAGTAGATACTATCTTGGAAATTAAAGTAAAGAAGTATAATAGGGGTTACGCTTTGTGTCAGTCACATTATATAGAAAAGTTGCTTCTTAAGTTTTAGTATCTACAAATAAAAGAAGCAAATACCCCTTATGACCCTAGTCAAACTTTGCTTAATAATTCCGGTAGGTCCGTTGCACAGCTTGAGTATGCTAGTGTAATCGGAAGTTTAATGTATGTCATGCATTGTACCAAGCAAGATATCGCATTTGCAGTAAGCAAACTTTCTAGATACACTAGTCATCCAAGTACTACTCATTGGAAAGTAATAAATAGAATTTTTGGTTATCTTAAAAGAACTATAAACCTGAGTTTAACTTATTATGAGTTTCCAGCAGTACTTGAAGGATATTCAGATGCAAGTTGGATAACAAATGCTAATGATAATAAGTCTACGTCAGGGTGGATTTTTACAATTGCCGAAGGAGCAATATCTTGGGCTCCGAAGAAGCAAACATGTATAGCACATTCAACTATGGAATCTGAATTTATAGCATTAGCAACAACAGGTAAAGAAGCGGAATGGATTAGAAATTTGTTATTGGAAATAGAGTTGCAGCCACAACCAATGCCATCCATTTCTTTATACTGTGATAGTGATGATACTTTGTCTAGAGCATACAATAAGGTATACAATGGAAAGTCTAGACATATTAGCTTGAGACATGAATATGTCAAGCAATTAATAACTGATGTAGTTATTAATATTATTTATATTAAATCAAGTAATAACTTGGCGGATCCGTTAACGAAAGTACTTTCAAGAGCTTTGGTAGTTAGTACATCTAGTGGAATGGGGCTAAAACCCTTTACTGAAAATTAGCCACCAATAATGGTAACCCGACTTTCTCTAGAACATCACTAGTTTAAAAGTTTAATGGGTAATAACAAGTTATTGAAAAGTGGTTGTGAAAACACTAAAAATTAATATATAGCTCATTCCAGGATGATCAGTGCATGACTGCTACATTTAGGAGGATGAGTTTTATCTCTTAATGAGGTTATTTGTAATTATGTCTATAGTAACAGGGACATGGGAAGGAACCTCACCTATATGAACATAAGAAGTGGTGCCGCTTCTGCCAAGAGTTGGGTTTTCTTTTGTAAATGTTTATGAAACCAGGATGAAGCACAAGGCCGTAATAGTACTTAATTAGTTCAGAAATTTCTTTAAGGAAATAAGACATAGTCATGTGTGTAGTGATTCCGGTTTTAACATAAGAATAGGTGGTTTAAACTTAGGTCATCATCGCATTCGTTATAACTTTGAATTACTTACACTAATTAAAGGTTTAATTCGAAAGACACCTTTATTGTATGCATGAGTATATCGGTATGCTTGTGATAATTATAAAGAGTTGTAATATCATTTTCTATATATTTTTAAAATAGGGAAAGATTGTTGAATATTTTAAAAAATAATATATATATATATATATGTGTGTGTGTGTGTGTGTGTGTGTGTGTGTGTGTGGGTGGTTGTTTGACAGGAAGTTGGGTCATTGACCCAACAATTATATCTTTCGAAGCATTGCAGATTTTCTATATATTTTTAAAATAGGGAAAGATTGTTGAATATTTTAAAAAATAATATATATATATATATGTATGTATGTATATATGTGTTGGGGGGGGGGGGTGGTTGTTTGATGGGAAGTTGGGTCATTGACCCAACAATTATATCTTTCGAAGCATTGTAGCTTTTTTGCTAACAGTGATACCCATTGGTTAGGCATCTGACAGCATATATGACCTTTGGGTAAGAGGTGTTTTGTATCAGATATATCCATTAGACATACTGTTGCAATGTGTTTTGTATCAGACATACTCAAATCAAAGAATGTGTCGAACGGGTGTAATTCTCCCTATATATATTGGTGATATTAGTAGAAAATAATTATTCAGAAATTTGTTGTCTACACAATTTCTTTGCTCTCTTCTCTCTCCATCACATTCATACAATTTTTTTCTAGTTATTTCTAAGGGAATACAATTCGGTTTTGCTAATCGAATATTCCATGCTTTGTTGTATCCTGAAAGTGACTTGCCAAGAACCTCTTAGCAAACTCATTCGAGTGGGGACAAATAACACTTTAAGGAAACGATTCAAGTCGTATCTCAAAGATATTATTCGGATTATTCTCCAAAATTATACATTTACTCTAACAGATGATGGGCAAGATCAAGGACAAGCTGTCGAGGGGCCACAAGGATGACCCCTACTACTCAACACCACATACCACTTCGACCACCAATACTTACGGCGTCACCACTTACACGGAGGAGCTCCACGAAAAGAAAGGGATTACGGACAAGATCAAAGAGAAGCTTCCCGGCAGACATCACTAGTGATTATAATATTATTCCTGTAAAATAAGTCAATTACAGTATAATGTAGTGGTTTAGCGTTGTTAATCATATAATAAGCTATAGCGGTGGCTAATATCAAAGTGTGCAACGAACAAGACTACAAAGTAATAAGAATATTATAAAACAAATTGAGAATGCCAAAACGGCTACAAAATTTCAAGAGGCTACATAACATATTCACTACCGAATAACAAGCAAGCTATTTATAATAAGCTAACCCTAATCCTAATGCTAACAATCTAAGCCCAAGAAATCAAACATTGAAGTAAACCTAAATACTAATAGTTTCCAATATCCTCATCAAACTCATGGCGGTATAGGACATGGGTTTACAAACAAGCAGATGCAGACTGGCTCCATTAAGCGGATTGGTAGGCATGCAAATTTGACTTGAATTAACTTGACTGGCGAAATTGACTTGACTTGACTGGCGAACTGGACTTGACTGGATTGACAAACTAATTTTTGCTGACAAATTAATTTTGATTCAAACTGACTAGTGTTGAGAGTATAGAAAGAACCCGTCACTAAACGAATGAGATTTCCATATCTCAATTGTAGCAACGAACGAGCAAACACAAACACTATCACTTAAGTGATCACAACTCCAAACACTCGAGTGACGGTCACAAAACAATTTCAAACAAGCCAACACCGACAACAAAAGATTTCAACAACAGGCCACATTGCCCATGTGGGCCTCTCAGAAACTCAAAAACTAACCATATTTCTCCTTGCCCATGTGGGCCTATCTCACTTTTTCTCTTTTTTTCTTTTCAAACATCACGTCTTTTTTCTTTTTCTTTTTCTGTTTTTTCCCTCTTCCTTTCAACCTCTCTTTCTGGGAAGTGTTCTCCAGAGAAAACAAATCCGAGTGCAGGTATGGGATCTCAATTCTGGGATTCTGGACGCGATGGGATAGCAACGGCGGTGAAGTGCGGATCAAAGCGGCGGCGAGGATGCGGGTACGGTGCGAAGGCAGCACGGTGGTGGGTAGACGAGTTCACGGGTCTGGTGGGGAGGTGCAGGTTGTGGACGGAACTGATCAGGTTTCGGTGCAGTGGAGATGGCAAGTACGGTGCGGAACATAAACGGCGGGTTTATCAAATCTGATCTGCAGGAGTTCAAGTGGGCATGAACTCGATCCGAGTGGTTCTCGGGTCGGAGCTTCGTCCAAACGTGCAGGTGACCAGAGACGAATACGGAAGGCGGGGAAGGAGCAGAAGGCCGTCAACACAACTGAAAAAAATTAAACACACCTTTTTTTTTTTCCCTGCAAACTGTCAAACACAACTAGACAATCTGAACAAGAACAACAAACGGACACAAGCAAACGGATACGATCCCAAAGCAGATTATATCCCGAAGGATGAAACCTGCTAAATATCAGAGTTGCAACCAACAAGACTACAAAATAATAAGAATATTATTAAACAAAATGACAATACCAAAACGGCTACAAAATTTCAAAAAGTTACATCGTGACTAATATATTCACGACCGAATACCAAGCACGCTATTTATAATAAGCTAATCCTAACCCTAATGCTAACAGGCTAAACCCAAGAAACCAAACATTAAAGAATCGGGAAGGAAGGCATGGGAGGGCAGCTTGGGAGTTCACTGCTGGTGAACAGTGCTCGCTCTCACAGGATGAACAGTGGTTTTCTGCTGAGCTTTAGTATATAGATAATTTCCAATGCTACATGATACGATTGTTCAGCTGATGTTTCAAAATTGTACATACAAACTCTCTTATTCCGAAAGGCTGAATTGATACAAAATTTTAACATAAAATAATAGAGTGGAGATACTCAAATATTCTTCGTATGTGAAATGAAATGCCAAGGGCTCCAGCGACGGTTCTGAATTGTCATAGCTGCAAGTCTTCGAGGCTTCATGTACTTCTAATATATCTCTCAAAACTCTGTTACGTCGTGAAAGCCTCCAATACCACGGCAGCAGACCAGCAAAATCTTTGCTCCAAAATCCAAATGATGGTTGAACTTCGACTGCATTGGCTGTCACATTTGCCTAAGGAGCAAGACTAATTTCCAATTGTGTTCCATAAATGATCATATTGCTTGAAACCTGGCCTTCCGCCTTATCAATCATTGCTCTGTAATCTTCTTCCAACAATCTTCATCTGCAGGTTCAATCACCAAAAGTTTCCGCAAGAGCATGTCCCGTTGTGGAAGTGGTGGAATCTCATGTTATCTCTCACGACAATCTCCCTCCCCGTAACTTGGGATGCACCGCACATAAACGAATGACAGTCTTCACAAATCCTAATGTTCTTCATAATCTTAATGGTGGAAACAGAATCTGTACTGAGTAATGCATACGCTAAAGCTAGCTTTTCACTATGAGACATTAATATACGCGTCTTTTCATCATCTCCCACAGCATAAGCCGCAGAATCCAGGTTAGGCTGGTAGCCATTAGCCAGTAATCTGTCCAGAAGGTCCTCCAACGTCTTCTTAATCTCGGTGTACTCTGGATGGGTTGTTTCACCTGCACAGAACTCGTGAATTACGCCTTTCTTTGTTTCAACCCAACTATATGCAGGTTTCTTTTTCAGACCCTTTTCCCTCATCAACTTCCTCACTCTTGAAACCTCATCCCACCTTCCTGCTGATGCATAAATGTTCGAGAGCACTACATAGTTTCCAATACTATCACGTTCAAGCTCAAAAAGATGGTTAGCAGCAATCTGAGCAATGTCGGGATTCCCATGGGTACGACATGCCCCGAGTAGAGCTCCCCACACGCCTCCATGGGCATCTATTGGCATTGTTTCAACAAGCTCAAGAGCTTCTTCCAAGCGCCCAGCTCGACCAAGTAGGTCTACCATGCAAGTGTAATGATCAGCTGTTGGAACAACATCATAGTACTTCTCCATGGTTGCAAATAACTGCCGACCTTGATCAACCATACCAGCATGGCTGCAAGCTGTCAGCACCCCTATAAAAGTAACCTTGTTAGGTCTTATCTCCGTCGTCAACATCTCATGAAATAATTCTATCGCTGCACTTGCACGACCGTGCATTGCAAACCCCAAAATCATTGAGCTATAAGAAAATACGTTTCTTTCCTTCATTCCCTGAAAAACCTTGAATGCATTATCCAAGCTTCCACACTTGGAGTACATATCTATCAATGCAGAACCCACAAGAACATTTTCAGTAGGCCCAAAACCGGATTTCTCAGCAATGTCCCGAACCCAATTAGCATATTTAGACGCACCTAATTGTGCACAAGCCGAAATGAGACCAACCAACGTAATCTCATCAGTTCCTACACTAGCACACTGCATTCTCTCAAAGCAATCCAAAGCCTCTCTCGGATGGGCATTCTGAGCATAACCGTTAACCATTGCAGTCCACGCCACCATATCTTTTGCAGGCAACCCCTCAAACAACTCCCGGGCTGATTCCATATCCCCAACCTTGGTATAAGCAACAATCAGCTCAGTCCAAGAAACAACATCCCTCTCAGGCATTTCATCAAACACCTTGCGCCCACACTCCAAAAACCCACATTTCACATACATATCGATCATAGTGTTCCCCACATACAAATCCACCACGAACCCACCAACTAAAATCGTGTGGGCATGAATCTGCCGCCCCAAATTCACATCAAGCACATCCCCACAGGCCTTAAAAAGCGCGGAGAACGTAAACGACACCGGTCCAACACCCGATTTCCTCATACAAGTATAAAAATTCAGCGATTCCGAAACAGGTCCTTGGATACTGTACCCACGGATCATAGCCGTCCAGAGAAACGGGTTTGGGTACTTGACCTGTCGGAAGACTAGGAGTGGATACGTGTCCATGGGGACGTCGAGCTTCGTGAGCGTGCGGATGAGCTTAGTGAGAACGTAGCAGCATTGGCCGAGGCCGTGGAGGAGGAGGTGACCGTGAACCGCCTTGACTTGGCGGAGGCCGGCGCATCCATCTAGAACGGCGACGAGCTTGTGCTCCAAGAGCTTCCGCCTCTGCTGAAACTCCGAGAAGATTTCGGCCGGATGTGGTCTGTGCTGGTGAAGCTGTGAAGGTAGAAGCTTGTGAATTGGGACTGTCGAGAATTTGCGAGAAAGATTTTGCATTGGACTATCCGAGCCCTGCTGCTGCTGCGCGCGACTCTGAGAAATGGATATGAAGAAGTGAAAGCCCCGCTACCCAGATAAGACGCTGCGTTTCATGAAAAGTAGAGAATGATTTTCTGACGGTTGGATCGGAATTGAACTTTTATCTCTAGGGGTTAATTACACATACAGCCTTTTGAAGTTTATTGCGTTTTCACAAAATCCTTCAGGTTTTGAACATATCACAAATATTTTTTTGATGTTTTAAAATTATTTTCCAAAACCCCTACACATCTTTCGTTAAGGTTTTGTTAATTTTATGCTGATATTAACGTAAATTAATTTTGAAATAGCAAAAGTAACCTTTTATAGCCATTTCAATTAAGAATATGACATCACACTTGTAACTAAACACCTCGATTCACCAATCTCCTACGTTCTACAGACTTTTAACCAAGCATCCAAATTTATAATTTTCACAGTTCGATCTTGATTCAAAGTTGAAGAAGAATAAATTTTTTTTTTTTTAAATTTTTGGGTCGTTTTAGTTTTTCTTTCACTATTGAATTAAAATTGAATGGTAAGTGATCCCAATTTCTTTAAAGATGGAATAATAATTTGTCAAATAGCGGACGAAAGTTCGATCAGTAGCTAGAAAGATTAAGTTGTATGACACATTGCCCTACAAAACATTACGAACAAGTTTATAAACAAGCTTTTGACAGGGGGTCTATTGAATGAGAAAAAGTTTGGGATGATATGCCAAACCTCGACTATGTCATTGGTACGACATTTTTCACAAAATTATGAGAATCAATCTCACGTCATAAACAAGTTTATAGTGAAATAAAATCACCTAATCCCCTCTACCTTTAAAATATGGTATATTTGTTGATTTGCTAGCCAATTACCCATCTAAAATTTTCTAATTAACCAATTTCCTCTTGAACTTTAATTTTAATCGAATACTCATATGAACTTTTATGGGCTGTTATACAAAATGGTCATTGAGATTTGCATGATCAATAGAAATAGTCCCTAAGATTGAAAATCAATAGAAATGGTCCCTGAGATTGTCCACTATCCATGATTTTAATCTTTCCGTTAAAAACAATTTTGGACAATTTTCAAAGTTTTGTAACTCAATTGTTTCTTAATCAAATTCGACCCATAATTTATCAAAATGAAGATGTAGAATAAGATTATACCTATTTAGAAGCTCAATGGTTGCCGGAGATGGCCGGAAAATAGCCTAAAAGGTGACTGGTTCGACGGAAAACTGAAAAACTCGCCATAAACTGGATAAACTTTAAACGTTCATAACTTCTTCAATACTTAACCAAATCAAGTGATTCAAAAATGAAAATAATACTTCTTGACGAGACGAAGAGAATGGTAACTTTTTCGAAGGCTAACTCGCCGTGGTTTGGTCGGACAACGGCTCGAAAGTGGCTAACTATTTTCAAGTTAGCCACTTTCGAGCAGTTTTTCGGCCAAACCACGGCGAGTTAGTAGTAAAAAAAAATATCATTCTCTTCGTTTCATCGAAAAGTATTATTTTCCTTTTTGAATTACTCGATTTCATTGCGTATTGAAGAAGTTATGAACGTTTAAAATTTACCCAGTTTCTGGTGAGTTTTCCAGTTTTTCCACAGACCAGTCACCTTTCAGGCTATTTTCCGGTCATCTCCAGCAATCATTGGACTTCCAAATAGTATAATCTTGTTCTACGCTTTTTTATCTTCATTTTGATATATTATAGGTCGAATTTGGTTAAGAATCAATTGAGTTACGAAATTTTGAAAATTGCACAAAAAGTTTTTAACAGAATGATCAAAATTATGGATGGTGGACAATCTCAGGGACCATTTCTATTGATTTTCAATCTCAGGGACTATTTTTATTGATCATGCAAATCTCAATGATCATTTTGTATAATAACCCAATTTTTATAAATAGCCAATTCTCTCCTGATGCTGGATTTTAAAAATTTTCATCTAATTTTTTATCTATTTTAATCACAACACATGACTATTTTATCGAGATAAAAAGAAAGAAAAATTGGATAGTGTTATAAATAGGTCAAAGTTAGAGAGATAACCTTTTAGTGAATGGAGTAAAACAGGTGTAAAATGTCACACTAAAACTATAGCACAAGAGGATAACAAATAAAAGACGGAGGAATAGATGATGTTATTGATCTTTTCTCTCGTTCACTTCTACTATATCAATTGATAGTAGTCGGAGTGCTTTATTTATAGAGCAACTCCGTATTATTACATTTTGAATATTTACACCACACCTTTGACAAATGATCTCCACATATCAATATTCTGCCAAGGTTTTCAATGATGTGACAAGGTTTTCAATACCGTGGCAAGGTTTTCAATACTGTGGCAAGGCTTTCAATACTATGGGCATTCATTACCCACTAGTATTTTCAACACTCCCCCTTAAAAGCCCACATATCAACATCAATTGCCTCATTAAAACCTTGCTCGAAAAAACCTAGTGGGAAAAAACTATAGCGAAAGAAAAAAAGTACAACTTTTCATGGATTGTTGATATAATGTTAAATATGTTTATGTTGCCTCGTTAAAATCTTGATAGGAAAAACCCAGTGGAAAAAATCCTAATCGAAGGAAAAAGAGTACAACATGCATGTATCATAGGTGCTCCCCTTGATATGTATCTCCCCCTGATTCCGCATTCTCCAAATTTAGCTGTTTAGTAAGTCAACGTAATCCAATGCTTTGCACTAACCTTTGAAACGTGCATTTTGGTAGAGATTTGGTGAACAAATCTGCCAGATTTTCATTAGAACGGATTTGTCTGACTTCAATAAATTTAGCCTTCTGAAGCTCATGTGCATTGAAAAACTTTGGAGATATGTGTTTAGTCTTATCGCCCTTAATGAATCTTTCCTTCATTTGGGCAACACAGACTGCATTATCTTCATGGATGACAGTTGGATTGTCTGTCTTCGAAGTTAGACCACATGAATTCCGGATATGATGGATCATTGATCTTAACCAAGAACATTCATGACTTGATTCATGTAAAGCAAGTATTTCTGAATGATTTGAAGATGTAGCAACTAATGTTTGTTTGGTTGATTGAGTGTCATGAGATTGTTGTATCTCCATTCTTAAACACATATCCAGTTTGCGAGCAGGCTTTATGCGGATCAAAGAGATAATCAGCATTTGCATATCCAACAAGGACCTGGTCATTTGTGGAGTTCTTTGAGTAGAAGAGATTCATATTTGTTGTCCCACGAAGGTATCGCAATACATCTTTGATACCCTTTGAATGGCGAATTGTTGGAGCAGAACTATAGCTTGCTAACAAGTTAACTGAAAAAGTTAGATCTGGTCTAGTACATTGTGCTAAATACAACAAAGCACCTACTGCACTCAGATATGGTACTTCTGGACCAAAGACCAGTTCATTATCTTCTTTTGGACAGAATGGATATTTCTTAATGTCCAAAGAACGAACGACCATTAGTGTGCTGAGTGAATAAGCCTTGTCCATACCAAATCGCTTCAGAATTTTTTCAATGTAAGCTGATTGATGGACCAAATTTCTACTAGCACAATGCTTGATCTGCAGGCCAAGACAAAATTTTGTTTTTCAAGGTCTTTCATTTCAAATTCACTTTTCAGATATTCAGCAGTTTTATTGAGCTCTTCAGGAGTTCCAACTAGGTTCATATCATCAGCATATACTGCCACTATAGCGAATTCAGAATTGGATTTCTTAATGAACACACAAGGGCAAATGACATTGTTGATATACCCTTCTTTGATCAAATACTCACTGAGACGATTATACCACATACGTTCAGATTGTTTTAGCACATACAATGATCGTCTTAATTTGATCGAGAGCATACCTCGTGGTTTGTTACTTGTTTCAGGCGACTTAAGTCCTTCTAGGACTTTCATATATATGTCAATATCTAATTCTCCATATAGATACGTTATAGATACGCAGTGATGACATCTATAAGTCGCATGTCAAGTTTTTCTGAAACCACTCAACTTATTAAGTAACGGAACGTAATTCCGTCTATTACAAGAGAGTATGTCTTCTTATAATCAATTCCAAGTCTTTGAGAAAAACCTTGTGCAACAAGTCGTGCTTTATATCTTGCAATCTCGTTTTTCTTACTGCATTTCCTTATGAATACCCATTTGTAACCCATGGGGTTTACACCAGGTGGGGTTTGGACTACTGGTCCAAAAACATTCCGTCTTTCCAAGGAATTTAATTATGCTTGAATTGCATTTTTCCACTTAGACCAATCCTGTCTTTGTTTGCATTCATCAATAGAGCGAGGCTCAATATCATCACTTAAGATGATTTCAGTGGCTACTGCGAATGCGAACATATCATCGATGATTATTTCATTCTGATCACACAATTCATTTGTACATCATAATTTATAGAGATTTCTTTGCTTCTATGTACTTCTGTTTCTTCAGTGACATGTGTCTCATCAAGGATATTTTCTTTTTCTAGAATTCCAGAATCATGAATTATGGATTTATCATTCATTTTCTCTTCCTGAATGATTTCATTGGGATTCAGTTGTGCCATCGACTTTCTCTTTCGAGGGGCTGAATCTTTTAAACCTCGGGGTCTACCACGCTTCAGGCGTGCACCAGATTAATTATTCGCTGCCACTTTATTTTGTCCAACAGGGACATTAATTCTTGCAGGTGCATTTGCAGTTGGTATATGTGATTTTGTCACTCTTATAACATTATTAAATGCATCTGGCATTTGATTAGCAATACTTTGAAAATGAACGATCTTTTTCACTTCATTTTCACATTGAATGCTTCGATGATCAAAATGAGACAAGGTGGGAACAACCCATGTCAGCTTTTTCCGTTCTTCTGGAACGATCTTTTTTCCCCCTAACGACGGGAAGACTTTCTCATCAAAGTGACAATCAGTAAAACGAGCTGTAAACATCTCACCTGTCAAGGGTTCCAAATATCTAATGATAGATGGTGAATCAAAAC